TTAGAAAATCTGCCAAAAATTATTCATCATCTTGGAAAATCATGGCACATCAGTAACATTGTTTATGGTATTTGGATCACCGTTACAACATGCCTGTATCCTGTATTTGTAACTGGTACATTCAAGATGATTCTACATAGATGCAAGCATCTGAGTACTGTATTGTTTTCTTGAACGTTATGCCCAAGCATTTACATATCTAATTATGTATTTAATTATAAGTTATCTTCTTTCTACCATTCCTTCATATCTCTTTAAGACATTTTATAAGTTTTTAAACTGTGTGAAGGTAAGTTACATTATTTATGAATTGTATTTCAGGACAATAAAGGGATCATAAAAATATTTGTTACAAAAGGGTGTCTTAGTTCAGGTTGCTGTAACAAATTACCATAGACTGGGTGGCTTAAACAACCAATATTTGTTTCTCACAGTTCTGGTGGATGGAAGTCTGAAATCAGGGGCCCAGTATGGTCTGGCTGTGGTGAGGGCCCTCTTCTGGGCTGCTGATGACTAACTTCTTGTATCCTCACATGGCTGAGAGGTAGCTAGCTCTCTGGCCTCTCCTTATAAAGGCCACTAATCCCCATTCATGAAGGCTCCACCACCGTCATGAGCTAATTACCTACCAAAGACACCACCTCCAAATACCATCAATATGTTGTGATTAGGGTTTCAACGTATGAATTTTAATGCCTCCAATTGTGAGCTGAAACTCAGTTGTCATCTGAGACTCAAGGCCACCTCCCTAAGGAAAGCAATATTTTTCAGAAGATAGCTAATCTGTTTTACATGAGAAAAGCGTATTTCTCCCGCCACTCTGTTTGCCCCTGCTCTTTGTGAAATAGCACCAGCATGATGACCCTAAGGGTCGCTTGTCTCTTTCCTGAGCTTGATTCCACCTTCCAGAAACGGTTCCGCATCGGCCATTCAGGATGGCTCCAAACAGATCCACGGATCTCTCTTCCCACCAACAGGAGAGGAGGGACATGCGTTCAGTTCACCTGCTCTAATTGTTGGACGCTTATATTTGGCTACAGGCCATTGCTTTGGACTTTCTATCTCCTTTTTATTCATCCCCACGGTAACTTTAGGATGAATTACGAGTCCATCTATCTTTTTATACCAGGAACAAAAAGGTGTACAGATAGGCAGCAAACATGCCAAAATCTTTGTCCATGATCGGGGTTTGAAGATATAATAGGAGAAAGGAGACGAAAATAAGTAGAAGAGGAGGAGGATTTGGCAGAGGGGGAAGCCCGAGGGACGGGAGAAAAACAATCAGAAATGATCAGAGGAAGAAAGAAAAACAAGCACTAAACAAACTCAGCTCAGGCACCAGAAAGGGATGCAGGCGCGCCCTGGGCATTCGCCTCGCCGGCCTGGCCCCTCCGGTTCCCGCGGGCCGCGCCCTGCCCTCGGCGCGCCGCCAGCCCCGCAGCGGCTCCCCC